TAATTTTTACATGGAAATTGTAGATCTCGGTGGCCTCTACAAAAATGGTCTGATGCAATTTTCCCGTATCTCCAACGGTTTGAAAGTTATTGGCGAAAAACGAAAATTTGGAAGAAATTGAAGGGGTACCCCTTGGAAAAATTTCGGAAAAATAAAAAAATTTTTTGTTGTTGTTTATCATTAGCAATGTTCTTCCGACGTGTGATTTCTTTTTAAAAAATGCGTTTCTGAAGTGCATAAACTTTTGGGATTGCCTGTATAGCCAATACATCCTTAACACGAGCAGTAGTAACCGGTCCCGACGTCCATATGCGGCTATGACATTTTGACACGTATGTATGCTTTTCGCAATTCGATTCGTAATCGAATACTTGTGAATCGTATTCGTTTCACTCTATACATCGACATACAATCACGTGTGATGAATAAAACACATCCAAACTGGATCCTCGAACATGTATGTGATATATGAACGAAGGGTGAAAATAGAAGAAAATGATTAAAATTATATTCCTAAAAACAGAGAAACAGGATAAAATTATTAACTAGTGTACGTTTTACAAAACCATCGTAAATAGGTGTTAGTGTGTTTAAAGGAAATGAAACATACGCGATGATAATATTTTAAGCCAGCATAAACGATTCCGTATTTCCTACCTCTCCACGCATACACGTACATATATCCATACACCAATGTGGCGAAATCATTAAAAACTTTGTTACTCCTTCGTTTCTGTTGACAACGACGGATTTTAACATTTCTCTGCCTAGTAGAGAGAGTATAACAGAGCCATAGCTACTTTCGATATCGTTCTTCGTTGCGTCTGTAGAGTTTCATTTTTCTTCTTGTTTCATCATTATATTCAACACGTGTTCTTTTAAACTGGTCACATCGCCGTGCGGTAACAACACGCACATTTACAGATGATAAATTTATACATCGATCGATATATATATATAGAGAGAGAGATATACAAACGTCTTGCTTGTCTTATTATGTCTAAATTCCTAGATTCGTTTAGGCGGATTACCCAGCTTCCCACCTTTTCACGTCGCGCGTTCTACTTTATTGCATTATACTGATGTATCGATATATGCCGTCTCACTCTCTCTCTCTCTCTCTCTCTCTCTTTCTTTCTCTCACTCTTGCTCTTCCAGGATTCCATTCCATCGAGCACACACTCGACTGTGCGAGAACAACATTTCTCTCTCTCGAACGAATCTAGATAGATAAATAGATTCTTTTCGTTACTACAAATTATAGGTTAGAATAATACTTTCGCCGTTTTCTATTTTCAACATTGAATAAATATTATTTGATTGTTAATTCTGTCAAATGAATTTCCCGTTTCTACCACACACATACACACGAAAAGGAAGCACTTTATAATTTCACGTGACACATTTATTAAAATGATGTTTACAAGTATATCATTTCTTTCAAGATCGTTAACGTTCACGATCGTTTATTGTTGGCGGTATGTGTGTGTGAATTAAAACTTGTTTCGATGCGTAAAGAAAGATACGTACATATGTAATGTAGATAAAGATATCAACAGTGATGTATCAATGAAAATGATACTGTAACCTTTTGATTTACATTACAGAATGACGCAAAATAATTGAATTAAATTCGTCCTCCTCCTCAGTCATGTAACATGATACTTAATAAAGTCATTAATCGCTGTTGCATACTTGTTTAAAAAATCGTTATATAATGTGTGTGGTACTTGCAAAATAC